AGGAGCCGGCTCCTTGCGTCCCTCAGGGACCCTCCAAACAAGCTCCCAGGGCTGAAGAGGCATGGCAGGTTTCCAAACGCCAACTAAAGCTGCTGCCGTGCGCACTTCCCTCCAAGTTCCCTGGGGGGAGCCCGTCAGGCACCCGCTACTCACATCGTTGGCCACTCCGGTGTGGACGAGGTCGCGCAGGAACTTCATGACGCTGCAGTTGGCATCCCGGTGATCCAGGGTGGTGGCAGCGATGGCCCACTGCAGGATGGGGAGGATCACCTGGCTGCGCAGGAGGGTTAGCGGGCTGCGCTGGATGAACCTGGGCAGCGGGGGAGGTAGTTAGACGTTTCTCACAGCAGCCCTGCTAGTGTTGGGGGGGTTGCAAATTAAGGGGACAGCGAGGGGGCAATTCTCTCGGCTCCCTCCGGGCCCATCCTGCAGCCCTCAGAAGGCCCGTTACGTCTGCCTTCGCCAGGGTTTGTCTCAGGCTCAAGGCGGCTTGTGCCACCCAACAGAATAAAAACGAACTGTCAGGGATGGGAGCAAAATCACCCGTTTTCCCACCCCGACCAACCAACAACACAGGACCCCAGCTGGGATGTAACGGCTGATCCGCAAAAGTTCAGCAGAAGTGGAGCAGCTTCACAGGGAGGGGGAAGGGGGCCACGGCAGAGGTGGCTTGCTTCTGGGCCCCCACCCCACGTCCTCTGAGCCAGCCCATCTCGAGCAGGTTCCACTCAGAGCGGACGGACTCCGAGTTACACAGGACCAGAGCCAGGCAGGGCTTCAACCAGTTCCTTATACAAGTAGTTCTCGCATAACAACCACAACTGGGTCCAGCAACTCTGTCGCTAAGTGATGTGGTCGTTAAGCAAGATATCACACAACCACAACTTGCAATTTCACTGTTGGTTTCTCCATTGACTTTGCTTCTGAGAAGCTGGCTGTGAAGCGCACAAATGGCGATCGTGTGACTGCAGGACGCTGCGACAGTCATTAAGTACGAGGACTGGTTGTAAAGTTACTTTTTCAGTGCCAATGTAAATTTGAATGGTCACTAAACAGGGCAGTTGTTAAGCGAGGACTACCTGTATTGCATCCAGAAGCAGACCGGCAGCTGACTCAACTTTGCAACAGCGGCGTTATGAGCTAGAACAGCTCTCTTCCCTCAGCAGGTGGGCAGTGGCATCTTGCACCAGCTGTTGCTTCTGAGAGGCTTTTGGGGAAGCCCCACGTAGAGCAAATTACAGTAGTCCAGACTCAAGGGGACAAGCACACACAGTGGAAGATCCCTGAAAGGCCGTGCCCTCTGATTCTGGATTATCGCCACAGCTTGGATTTGGAATTGGCAAGGGTGCTTTCTCCAGTGGGTTTGGGCTGCTCCGCCTTGTGCCAAAACCGGGGCAAGGCACGGGTACCTGGTGGCCAGCCGGAAGAGGTCATCCACAGTGTCCGGGTGGTTCTGCAGGCCGTTGGGTTGCTCAAGCAGCCTGAAAGTGGGGACGCACAGAGCCTGGGGCAAAAGGGACAAGGAGACGGCTCAGCACACAAGCCAAACAGCATCTCTTCACAACGCAGCCACCTTGGGAAAAGCGCTGAGAGCCGAACTCTCTCCCTCCCTCCCTCCCTCCCTGTGTCCCACTCCAAGGTGGTTCTGGCAAAGCGTCTTTTGGGGCTGGGCGATGGCAGCTCTTGCTCTACGCTTCCGGAAAGCCAAACTCAATAGCGTTCCCCACTGCCTTGCACCAGGCCATACCCCAAAGATGCCCCAGCCCTTTCCAACTCTACGGCTGGGTTTACACGGCATGCCAGGCTAGGCCAAAACGGGGTCAGGCAACTTGTGGTTTTGTGCGCTGTGAGAAAGCAGCAACTGTCTTAGCAGCTTGTGTGAACCAGGTGAGCAGATTAAACCACCGCGTGGCACTTTGTTTGGGCCCCAGGCGCTCTGTGAACGGAGCCACAGGGCTTCCTTAAACCAGTTGCTGGGCCAAGTGTGGGGCCCCGGAGGGTGCCCCGGTATCTGCCCCTGCCCTGCCTCTAGGACCTACCTACCTACCTGCAGCATGTCGAGCAGCCCCTGCCTGCAGCCCTCCTCCATGCCATACTCGTCCACAAGGATGCTGCCCAGGTAGAGGAAGCAGGAGTGCTGGTGCTCCTGGTACACGCTCACCATCTGCCAAGGAAACCAGCGGAGTCTCAGTGGAGGAGCGGCCAGACCCCGCGGTGCCAGGCAAGCCAGCCTTGGAGGGTCCCTGCAGCTTGCCAAGGCGGAGCAGCGAGTAAAGAAAGAAGGAGCTGTAGCTGGGGGGCAAAAGCAGTGCCTCCCAACAAGCTATGGAAACTGGGAGGGAAGGGGGGGGAACAGCGCTTCGTGCCCCACGCGCTCAGCAGTCATGGGGCGAACTGTGCTCTGCAGACCAGGTGGCCAGGATTGGAGGCCCTTACAAGCATGGCCAATAATCAGGCTTTATGTCCGAGCAGGCAATGTGGTGCCTGCATGCACTGTCTCCCCAGGATATTCCCCTGGGCACCCACCAGGCTCTCCCTGACTGTCTTTTTAGGACAAAAAGAATTAAAACACCTCCTTCCCCCATCGCTATTACTAGACCCATCTGCAGGAACGATTCTGGCCCCCTGGGATGGCAAAGAGGATCCTGGGAAGTGGCTGCCTGCGTCCATCAGAGCAGCCACTTTGCAACTGCACCCATCACATGGTCTTAAAATTACACAAGAGCCACAGAAAATTGCCTTTATGTGGATTATGGATGGATCATCACTTGCCTAGCCTGGAGGTGACAATATCAAAGGCCTGTAGAGCAAAAAAGACCAGCCTTGACCCAGCCCCATGCTGAAAACGATGAGGTCTGTTTATTACCGTAACTGCGTGCGCCGATTAAACTATGGAAACTGGACACGGACGCCCTGGGTGCTCCACAGAGCTCTCCGTGGTAGAAAGAGAAGGGTGGCAAACAGGAGTCCTGCAGAAGTTGGCTAAACCAGGACCCATTCACCCGTGCAGCAGAATTTGGAATGAATTTTTAAAAACCGTGTTGCAGGAATGAACAGACATCAGCAGGGCAGTGAAAATCTGCACCCCCAGAATGCAGCTCTGATTCCAAACCCAATTCCTTTTCCTCTGGTCTCCATCCAAGTTTAATAAAATCACCACCATCTTCATCCTACCTGAGTGACCAGCGGTTGCAAAAGGGCTGCCGACCCCTTGCCCACGCAACGGACGGCAAAACGCAGGCAGCGGCAGCAGCGTTCAACGATGCGGTTATCAGCACGATGTTTGTTCAAAGTCTCCGACAGCACTGGCCAAATCTGGGGAAGAAGGAGAGGAACGTCAACGGGATCTGAGGAAGCGCAGTGGGTGACACTGCGAAAGGCAAAAGGCACCAAGTGCCTGGGGGAAAAGAACCACCAGGCTACGACCAGGATGCAGGAAGCTGCGTGGCTCTCATCCTCACCAGAAACCACATTCCCCTCCTCCAGACCAAGACGCGATTCCAGATTCCGGCCTCGGCTGCGTCAATAGAAGGTCCAGGCCACAGGGATCCCAACTGTCTCTCTGGGCAGGGTCATCCTCTTATCTCTAGCCGCCACAGCATCCCTTGATGATGGATGCTTGTTTACATTCTCAGCGTTCCTACTTTCCCATCTGGTTCACCGAGTTAGGCTGGACTCTTCCAACCACTAACCTCGACCTAACAAACATTTAGTTTCCCTGCGTGTTCAGCTACGCGCCAGTGCTGTGGCCCAGAATCCAGAGGCTACCCAAGTCCAAGAAAACCTGGGCTTGCACAAGCTCAACCTGCCCCTAAACAGAAGTGGGACCAGGGGCCCTATCTGCTAACATGGCCCCTGGTCCCACTTCTCAAGCCCCTGAGATGTGTTGGACTCCAACTCCCCAAATCTCCAGCCAGCAGTCCAACGCTTCTGGTACTCTCTGGATTTTTGGGAGTGAGTGGGGGACGCAACGCCCTCCCCACCTACCTCCTGGATGACTTTTTGGCACGGATGTGTCTGTCCATTTTCTACAATAGGGTTGGTGTGCCTAAAATGGAAGAAAAAAAGAAAAAAGAAAAGAAAGAAAGGAAACTCTCAAGGCTGAAAGAGGGGTTTCGACCAGACTGGTAAGAACAGAAATCTTCCATCCAATTTAGAGAAGAGAAGGGAGTCTGCAGACCATGTAGCCCTCCTTTTCCTTGCCCCGCCCCACCCCAAATCATGTTGTTGAATGTTGACTGTCTTAATTTTGACTAAACAGCCTTCAGGATAAATGACCCCATCCTCCAGACACCCTCTCCGCCCAAAAGACCAGGAGAATCATGTGCATAAGGGCCTTGGGGAGCAGCGAGGTTCTGGCCAAGATGCTCCCAGCCCAGGGCTCAACAGTGACTTCAACATGCCTTCCAGCTGGACTCCTGCCCACCCAATCAGCTGTCAGGTACCAAGCGTTAAGCAATCAAGTTAAAAGCGTCCAAGAAAAACCAGCCACACCCAGAGCAGGAGACAGAGATCTGCCTCTCTTCCTTCACTGGCACTCCGCATCAGCCCCACTAGGTAAACCAGCCCAAGGAACCACCTCCACCGGAAGGCTACTGTGGGACTAACAGAATCTTGCTAACAGAATCTTGCAAGTCTGATTGGGCTGGATCTCCTTCTCCTTCTTATCATTCAGTGAATTAGGAAAGTGTCTTCCTGATCCGTTTCCAAACATTATCTGGACAATCTGGACTTCAAAAATGCTTTAGCCCTCTTGCTTAGGCAACAGAGTCTGTTTATCTCCATCAAGGTAATCTTGTTTCCTCCTTATATTTCACTCCTCTTCCCAGCTAGTTTCCTGCCATCAGCCTTCTGTTACTGCCCTCTTCTTGCCAAGCTCCAAGACCTCTGATCCCGCCATCCCCCTAAGGCAGCGTTTCTTAAAGTGTGGTCAGAGGACCCCTGGGGGTCCCCAAGACCCTCCCAGGGGTCTGCAAAATCAAAATTATTTGCCAGAAATTGAAGATATTTGCAAAAATTTAAAACAATGTCACTTTTCTCATTTTTTTTTGGTTAAAAAAAATAGGGTTTTTTCATGAAAAATAGTTTATGTATGTTACTATCTCATGGGTTTAATATTTTTAATCTATTCAATAAATATTCTATGAATGTATCAGTTTTAATTTTTAATACAGTAAACATCGATAAACATAACCCATACAAACAAAAGCTCTTTTGGGGTCCTGTGTAAGTTTTTAAAATTGGGAAGGGGTCCTGAGAGCAAAAAGTCTAAGAATTGCTGCCCTGAGGTGTGGGGCAGCAAAGGAGACGCTGCATTGGCATTCAGACACCCCAACCCAACCCACCCCTGGGGCTTACCTAAATATAACAGCCAGGCGATCAAGGGGCACGGTGGGGTCTGAGGAGAGGCCATTGCTTGGCTCCTGAGACAGCAGCTGAAAAAGAGAGGGAACAGGCACAGCCACCCCAGGTGGGGAAGTTCAGTCCTGGAGCACGTCAGCTATCGCCTCTCCACCGCCTCCTTTCTATTCCAGACCTTCCTCCAGAGAGGGGGAAGGACTACAGATTGTGGACTATACAACACCTGTAATTCCCAGCTCCCAATGGAACTCTTGTCCCACAAGGAACTGGGGCTGGAGACGTGAGATGTCCCCCGCCTTCCCTCTACAAAGTCTTTCCAATGACTGCTGTCTCTCCAAAGGCAACATGAATAAGTTAAGACCCCAACGGGAACTGCCTGGCTCCCAAGCCTTCAAGCTCCCCTGCCCCATTCCCTTAGCAGATTGTTGCTTTTCCACTCTACAACTCCTCGCCACCTATCAAACCTAAAAAAGCAGACGTTGCCTCCAGGCCACATACCTTTTTCAGGGCCATCACCTGAACAGCACAAAGTTCACTGAGACATGCCGAGATCTTCTCCAGGGGAAGCCTGGCGAGCACCAATGCCGTCCCTGCCCAACGAGAGGGGGGACAGGAGCTCCGTCAAGCAAGTCAGATCAGATGCTCGGTTGAGACCCAGCCAGCTGCCGTCTGGGACCAGGAGGTCCAAATCCTTGTGGTAGCAGTTCACAGGAAGAGCTCTGGCCAGACACCTTCTCTAAGCCTAGCCTATCTCATGGGATTGCTGAGAGGATGAAACAAGGAGCTTTCTCGAGCTCTTTGGAAGAAGAGGGAGATTCACACGTAAGCAACAGCATAAGCACTAGAGATCTTGAGGGCAAACCCAGGGGCCTTAGACAGGCAACAACCCACGTGTGGCCTAAGATGCTCTACTTCACGAAGGTCTCAGAAAAGCAGGCCCCCAAATCCCAGCTGCAGAGAAGCATCAGTTGAGGGGGGGATCTCTCATCTACTGCTTGTGAGCATTCCAGAGGCATGTGGTTGGCCACTATGAGAAACCACATGCTGGACTAAGACAGACTTCGGCCTGATCCAGCATAGCTGCTTTCAGTTCTGTGGAATGCAATGCCACGAGATGTGGGGGTGGCCATTTACTTAGATGGCTTTCAAAGGGGATTGGATACATTTGTGGAGGACAGGTATCTCAAGGGCTGTTGGTCCTGAAGACCAAATGTCACTTCTGGGTTGGGGAAGCCTCCCTCTGAGTCCCAGTTGCAGGGGAACAACAGCAGGAGAAAGTCTCCTGAGCCGCAGAGCCCCTATGAGAAGCCCAACGCTGAACTAAGAGGGGCCTTGGCCTGATCTAACAGGGCTGTCCTTATGATCTGAGGAATTCATTCCCACAGGATCTGGTGGTGCCCAATAACTTTGGATGGTTTTCAGGGGGGACTAGAGAAAATTGTGGAGAATCAAGGACTCTTGGTTTTGAAGACTCTGTGGTACTTTCAGGCTGGGGGCATCATGCCTCCAGGTACCAGCTGCAGGGGGCAGTGGCAGGAGAAGGATATGATTCCTCCTCCTGTTTGTGAGCACCCAGAAGCCTTTGGCTGGCTGCTGTGGGAAACCAAACACTGCCCTAAGCCAGGCCTTGGCCTGATCCAGCAGCGCTGTTCTTCTGTCTACCTCCCTAGAATGAAACTGACTTTCAGCAGCACGTGTGTTATTCTGCATCCACTCTCTCACCAATCCTCCCCACTCAGGTGCCCTTCCAATGCGCAGGCCTGCCATCCCCAGGAGCCATGCTAGATGGAACGAGACGAGCAGCAGTGCAATCCGTGCGGAGCACAGTGGCCTGAGGAGAGCAGGGGGGGCCTTGCTTTTCAGGGAGCAGCAGAGTTACGCCCTTAGCCTCCAAAGCAGGATCCTGGCCTCCCTCATAACGCTCTCCCCAACCCACTGGTTACTCACGGCCTGTGGTTAGAAAAATGAGCACATACCTTTCAAGAGTCCAACAGCTGCCTCTGGTGAGAGCATGAAGGAGTCCAGGGAACGGGCGATTTCCAGCAAACCGCTGAAATGCTGGGCCATGTGGTCCCGGCACACCGAGCAGATGTTGTGGATGGCTTTGGCGGCAACCGAGGCAAGAGCTTTCTCGCACAAGCCCTTCATCAAATAGCCAAGGACTGGATCTTTGGGCAAAGGAAGGGAGGGGAAAGGGTAAAAGTTCAATGGGAGGGCATGGAAATGGCTTCTTCAGCACAAAAATCTTTGTCATTGGTATTTTTTCTATCCATCCATCCACAGATGCACAGTCTGAAAAGGAAAGCTCTCTTAGAGAGGGCTCCCATGAGAGTAGAATAATCCACTCATTTAACGTGTTTTTTGAATGCTGCCTAGGAGGATCCAAAGGATTTCCACCTCTCCCAGTTGTAAGTGGCAGTCATAGAATTTACGCTTCCTGCAAGTAGGTAACTACAGGTAGTTCTTGCTTAATGATCACAATAGGGACTGGAAAATTGTCATTAGGTGAGTCACTACATGACCGGACCTGGTTTTATGACCATTTTATAATGGTCATAAAGCAAATCACCGTGGTCGTTACGCAAATCACATGTTGTTAAGTGAATCATGTGGTCATTAAGCAAATCCAGCTTCCCCAATGAATGTTTTTTGCCAGAATCTGCTAAACAACCATGTGATTTGCTTAACAACCGCAATGATCTGCTTAATGACCATTGCAAAAAAGGTCGCAAATATCGATCACGTGACCGTGGGGGTTGCAGTGGTTTGCAATGGTCATAAGTGCAAGTACAGGTCGTAAAACACTTTTTCAAGGCCGTTGTAACTTTGAAACGTTGTTAAACAAATGGTTGTTAAGCAAGGAATACCTTACAATTGCCCTATCCTGACTTCTTGTTTTTATCTTGCAGAGATTTTTTTTTCCTGATTGTAAAATGGTCTTCCTCACCACCTCCTGCAGCATTCCGCTCTACTCTTACAAATGGTTCTGGTGTAACCATTTGAGAACGTGAGCTGAAAACCAAGATTTGCCACTGGAAATGACCCGGTTTGAGATTGCAGATGGGCTACACATAATTCTGAAGGAAATACCCTGGCTCTTCAGGTGCCATGAAATGCTATTTTAGGCAAATTTCTGTAGAGAGGGTGACTCAAATAAAGGAGACACTCCTGTCCTACTGTCTATATTATGAAGACAGACAATCCAGAATTCCCCCATTCTGGTGATTATTTCACCTCGTATCTTGAGAGACCCCTTCTAAGAGCCTGTGAAGGAACCATACCCACTTTTAAGTGCTTCAGCGAGGAGGGACTTTACAGCGAGATGGTGCAGCACAAACAATCATTTCAGGATGCCCCTGGTTCTCACCTCAGTCCTCTCCTAAATGGCCTCTGGCCTATCATTATCTCTCAGTCTTAGATGGTCTCTAAGATTGGGGCCGCAAAACTGGCTGATCTTACTGAGCTACTTTCCAAGGTTTACAACCAGACAGCCAATCAAACACCTTGAATTACTCCCTTAGCCATCCCCAACGGATGCTCTGGGTAACTGTTCGTTTTATGATGGACTGGCATGACTTTTTAAACCTGCCATTAAGTATTAGACCACAAATCCAAATGCGCCCCGATATCTATGCTGAACCCCCAGGGTTCCCTGCTGCAGCTACTGGGCTACAGGCCCGCCCGTCTTTCTGTGGCTGGGGAAGCAGATGGAAATGGTCTTGTCTCTCCACTCACCGAGGAAGTGAGGGTTCCTGTCCACAACTTCACTCATTTCACCAACCAGTTCAATGCTCGTGTAGCGCACAGCCGTGTGCACGGTTTCAGGAAGGCGCACCACCCCATCCAGCACTTCCACGAGCGTTGGGTTATTTTCTCTGCAGGAGGAAAGCAGCTGGACTGAGCCCCCAAGAAGACAGAAGCCAGTGGTACTTGCCCCTGGCTCTTCCAACAGCCAGGCTCTCAAACCATTCAGGGGAACCCTGGCATACGAAGCACGTGCTCTCCCCTACAGAGCTGCACCCCGTCCCTTACAGACCCCTCTCCACCCCCTTCCTCCAGTGCACAGGAAGCAACCTGGATTCCAGCAGCCAGATTTCCTGAGAGTTCACTTAGCTCAGTGTTGTCCAAACTTGGCCACTTTAAGATGAGTGGACCAACTCCCAGAATTCCCCAGCCAGCGTGGCTTGCCGGGGAAATCTGGGGGGTGGGCCCCTCATCTTAAAGTGGCCAAGTTTGGGACAAACTTAGCTAAGTGAAAATCCAGCAAAATTG